ATGTAATTTGTAGAAGATGATAAATTGACCACTTTTTTCAAATAACAAAGTATGTTTATCTGATTTGAGGGAAATGCACACACACATTTCCAATAAAAAAAACAAAGAATCTTTTAGCTTTTTAGCACTGGATGACTCTTACAAGATATACCTGGTGAATACCCGCAATATAATTCGGTGTAATATTGGATAATAATTTAATGGATATTGCGTATTCGATTATTTTTCTCTGATCAAAACAAAGAATCTTTTGGTACGCACAATTTATTTTTGTAGAAATTTAATATCATAAATTATATCACGGTGTATAAAAAAAAATCATATTTCAGAGCTTGAGGTGACATATATTCTTAATAAATTTTATTTGAAAATATGACACATGATTACCGTTAATCTTTGTATACATTTACGGGGCTTTTTTGTTTGCTGGAAAAAAAATCTTGTGTACTAGTATTATGAACTTCCGATCTTATTTAAAATAAAAAAAAATAAAAGGCTACAATTGCTTTTTCGGCAATTCTTCAAGAATAAAAATTGAAAGTTGGGGTCGTTTACATGAAAAATAAAAAGAAATCTTGTCATAACAGGCGATACTATCTACAGTATTAGCCCTTTATGGGTTAAAAATCAATCCACTGCTACTTATTATACCCCCGCTTGAAAAGCGGGAGGGTATATAGTAAACGGTAAATGGCAGTTCTCGTCTTCTTGTCAAACTTGCAGGAAAATTAGTAAATTATTGTTCAAAATAGTAAAACTATTGTTCAACAAATTTTTAAATTATGTACACGTAAAGCAAATATACGACTGCATATGAGATTCTTCAGAAGGATATGGAGATAACAAACAGTATTCAATCTCAACATCCATTAAACAATATACAAAATAAGAGCAGAGCAAACACGGACCTCCGAAACATCAGAGGTGATATCAGGTGCCATGGAGGAGTGAGCATCCCCTGCCTACCGGTCACACCCGCCGTGTGCTCGTTGTCATGATCAGGAAATAACGGGAAAAATCCGTCGTCAATTCAGTGTATAAATAATGGACTAACAATTGGTATAAAAAACGTCAGTCAGCATTTGACTCAATGATAAATTGTATTTGCATCAGAGTATATTTTTAGAAACCGCATCACCTACAGTACATCTTTCCTTATATGTTTTTCTATTCTCAGTCTTTTCGATACGACACGTCAATGCTGGTGAAGAATATAAAATTGTAAATGAAGATCAAAAAAGCAATCGGTGTATGTGGATTATTTTTTATCCATTCCATTACAACCAAAATTAAATTATTATATTTAAACAAATCTCACAAATTAATGCACGTAAATAAATGTTATCTTTTTCTACTTAAAAAATAACATTTAATTTATTAGGGTAATAAAAATCTAAATAGGCATTAAAAGATTTTTTGTATCAAACTGCGTATGACTTAAGTGCAAATCAGTCACAAGTATAACGATAACAAGAATACATGCACACATTTCTTTCAAAATCACTAATTCGTTACACAGTTGGTATGTTCGTACATATTGATATAAGTAAAAACACATGTTCTAAAAAGCAGATGAAATTCTGGTCGATACAGTCGAACTATCTAACTTTTTTGAAAGTAAATGTGCAGCAATTTTTATCAACATCTATTAATCAAATTACTGAATTACATAAAAGAAAACTTGAGAATACTTCTAAGAGTTCCTTGACAATTAATTCAAAGCCATTTAATTACATCAATTGTTAATGATTTCGATACCATGCTTGACTTAATGTGTCAACATAATTCTAGAGCAGTGGCACGATAGAAAATACATATCTAAATACAGTGTATTATTTTTTTAAAATTAAACATGTCTTTTTAATGCAACTTCGAATTAACCGTTACTAGAAGTGTGAAAACAAATTATTTGTCTTTGTTCCTTCATGCGTAAACACCGGCGAGGGTCAAGGAGTTAATTGATTATGCGAGGTGAAGCCCTAATTAAGTCTTCTTTCTGTTAGAATTGAAAGATGGTAGAAATGTTTGATTAATATTTCAGTTATAGAGAATTTATATGTTTAGATTTTCTGATTATCACAGATCTTACTGTGTCGGAAAAATTTTTACTGTGTCGCACGTATCAAATTTGAACCGTTACTGTGTTGGAGAAAATTTTACTGTGTCGGGAGCAACACAGTAAGCCAGCTCTTGGAGAACCCCATATATGTGAAATTCTCGCATTAAGCAATTGTATGATGACAATGCTGGTAGTCGAACTGATAAGACGTATTTTGGGGGGTAGCTCTAATCTCACCTGTTATTTAATTTGAAATACTGTGAGTGATATTGTGTCATGTATTACCTAGCCAACTTATATGGCTGATAAATATATAGATCAAAGTATAAGTTCAAGCTTGTTTTAATCATTTTCTGGACTAACACAATCATTTGATGGAGATGTCCCGCAAATAAAAAATATTTGCTTGCAGTCCCCTTTTAACCTAAATGGCTTCCAACG